CAATAAGGACAAGTGCAGGGCCCTGCACCTGGGCAGGAATAACCCCAGGCAGCAGTACAGATTAGGGGCTGACCTGCTGGAGAGCAGYYCCACAGAGAGGGACCTGGGAGTCCTGGTTGACACCAAGTTAACCATGAGGCAGCAGTGCCCTCGTGGCCAAGAAGGCCGATGGGATCCTGGCCTGCATCAGGAGGACGTTGCCAGCAGGACAGGGAAGGGATCCTGCCCCTGTACTCAGCTCTGGTGAGGCCTCACCTGGAATACTGTGTGCAGTTCTGGGCTACCTGGGACAAGAGGAACATGGAGCTTCTAGAGAGGGTCCAGCTTAAGAGGGTCCAGATTAAGGGAATGAAGCATCTCCTGGATGAAGAACTTCTTTACCCCGGGGGTGACAGAGCGCTGGAACAGGCTGCCCAGGAAGGTTGTGGAGTCTCCTTCTCTGGAGATCCTCCAAACCCACCTGGATGCTGCCCCTGTGCCCCATACTTTAGGTGTCCCTGCTGGAGCAGGGGGTTGGACTTGATGATCTCTAGAGGTCCCTTCCAACCTTAACCACCTTGTGATTCTGTGTATCAGAATTTTAGTTGAGGTAGGCTGCTCCGGGTTATTTGCTTTAATTAAGAGCTTAAATTTAATCCTTCCCAATCCCTTTTAACTCGTTACATGTTTGTCATAGCTTTAAAGGATAGGAGAGAGGCATAAATTGAAGAAAATACAGATTTTATGATTAACTTCCATGCTATAGAGAATAATACTGACAAAAAAAATCTTTTCCTTACCAATTTATCTTTTCAGCTAGGTGATGGCTATTTGATGGGTTACTAAAATATAATCTAATCATAAACAAGGGAAGTCTCACAACAGACCTACAACTTGCATCCTGCTTCTCTATACACGAGCTCATCTCCACAACCATTACATTTTCCACACACAAACACACACACAGAGCATTGATTAGGCCCACAGAGTAAACTGACTTCATGTCCAGGAAGAAAACTTCCAAGTACGAGGTCTATAAACAGGCAACACGTTGTCTCTTCATAATGCCTTGCCTTCATTTCCCTGCAACGCCAGCTCTGAAGTCTCTATTTAAGTACTCTATTGCTAGGAGGCTTGCAGGAACAGATAGATAATGGGAAGAGCAGGCAGGCAGCTGAGTAAATGAGAACTGCTTAGGAAAGAGGAAAGGAGAACAATAGTACTAAGGAAGAAGATAATTCCCCATTGAGTAACAGCAGAGCTGCTGCTGGATATGCAAAGGGCAGATGCTGATCAAGCAGCGATAGGATTCGCAGCCGGCCCCAATGTGATGCTGTGACGGCGGCTCCTGCCCGTCCCTACATCAGTGGGGAATCCGGGTTTATTTGCCCCTCTGCTTCCATCATCATTAGGGGAACCGTCATCATGAGGGAAGCAAAGGCAATTTCTGTGTTTACCGAGGCTTCATGAAGTCAATTTGTATAAAAAGGAAGCAGCTCAGTGTTTCTGAGCCGTCAGATGCGCCAATATGAAAACAGATTCCTGCACAGACAGTATTGGGTACTGGCACAGCAATATCCACGCAAACCAGAAACAGGCGTAAACAGAGACAGCTGTGACAAAACGGGCACTCCTGGGAAATCCATGGGGGACAAATCCACTGCACCTACGCTGCTCCCGGGAATCATTCTCAGAATCACTTTCAGGTACTGCATACAGAGATACTTGCCACTTTTCTGTGATACCCAACCATCCTAAATTTATGCTCACATTATTGCTGCTCCCTGTTTGCCTACAGAAGGTGAGTTAAAAATAACTCCCCCCCATCCTCCCCTAAAATTAAAGCTCTTTTTTCTAAACCTCCCGAGTTGTTGTTTGTCAGAACAAAATGCTGTGATTGATGAGCCACATGAGAGAGATCTCCTGCCTAGGCTAATCAGGAGAGGGGACTGCCAGGGAGGAATCTAGGCAGTGGAACAACAASAACAACAAGAGGAAAAAATTAAAGGAGGAAGAAAGCGGTGGGGGTGAAGCATGGCAAGCACTAAGACTAAATTTAATTACATGAAATTTGTACCCTGTATTTCTATACCTTCTACCTGTTTTACATGCTGCTTGGGGCACTGTTGTTGCAGTGGGAGTGGGCTGGGACCTGTTCTTAGCCTGCTCCCTTTTGGGTACAACGTAAAATGTCATTGTTATTTCCAAACTGCTAGGTTTTACTCCAGGGTACCCCTATCTTAAGGGAAATAACCTATCTTTGATGTAGCACTTATTTTGACTCTGGAGTAATGGACAATGTCCTGTGACTCTCTATTATTCAAATATTTGTGAGAGGCAGCTGTCAGGAACTCAGAAAGGGTCAAAACTTCCTCCGTGAAGGGAAACTAACAGTTTCCCAGTCTGAAATGGGAGAGTTGGAGCACGCACAAAACTCTATTTCTGGCAGGTTTCTTCACGCTAGTAACAACATCAAAACATTAATTTATTTTGAAGGCTTGGATAAATGACACAGAGGGTCTTGATTTGCTAGACCAGGTAAGCTTCAGCTAGCAAGCAGTGAAGGCAAATCTTGCATTAGACAAAGTATCAATCAGTGTATAGCTGCGCACGGCATCCCCAGCTTTGGAGCAGCAGAAGGCCATTTAAGTGCAAAGTGATGGGTACACGCAGCCCCTCACCGTGCTGCCCGGCTCCTCCTTCAGGGAGGGCCGGGATAAGCAGAGGAAGAGTCGGCTGAGGGTCACAGAGTAGATTTTGTTCAGAGGTATTTAGATGCCCAGACGTAATCAAGTGCCTCAAAGGATTTTCAAGAGCAATTAGGAACCCAAGTTCTGAGAATCCATCAGTCCTCCTGAAAATCCCATATGGTATCAAATTAACCACATCTTTTAATATCTAAATACCTCTAGCTCTGTTTCCCTGTGTGTCTCCAGATAGAGAGCACTGCCCTTGACTTCACCAGGGCAAAACCTTTGTTGTGAAAGGCTGAGATTTCTTCCTACCATCTCATTCACCTGGCTCTTTGAAGAGGGAAAGATCTACTCTTTACAGCCACACTGAGCTGTTATTGCCCTGTGGACTATTTTAGCTGAAATTGCAAGAACAGCACTCAATACGTTGGCTATGACACAAGTTGTTTTGCTGTGGGCAGAACCATTCCCTCTCATCTCATTCAGATTTATTTGTCACATATTATTTCACTCCAGTGACACCCTGATCTGATAGGGCAGATTTGCAGCTTCTTTTTCTGGTGGAAATCCTCAGATTGGCAAATAATGCAAAGGCTTCAGTGCACATCCCAGGTGCATCAGATGGTGATGGGTCACACRCTGCCCTCTCCCTATTTACACGGCTCTATTGATGTAACTTGGGTTACCACTGCACAAACCCAGAGCTGCTGTTTGCTTACCGTATGTCCTCAGAAACATGATACTAATCTATTGCACAAAGATTGCAAAAGATTCACACTTTTTTTTTAATTTATAGAAGAAAATGTTCCCTTGACGTGATAAATACTGAACACAACCTTTGCTCAGACTGCAAATAGCAAATTACTTAGTCATCTTCTATTTAAGTACCTATTTGTTTTGCTGCGGAGCAAAACTTTTGAGCAAGATGATATTACATGCAGAGCAGCTTCCTGCATCCTTAAATATTAATCCCCAAAGTAAAAATAGATTGAAGGTAGTCCCAGGGTCACTCTAATTTGCCACCTTCTGCCTTGGTTATGCACTCCCGGCCTCGGCTTTGTGGTGATACCTGCATTTTTGCAGCCTTTCAGGGAGCCTGGCACAAGGATGGGAGCGGGGAGGAAGAGGGCAGGCGGGGACCTGCTCCTAGGTCACACAGGGACACCTGCAGCCAGGAAAACAGCCTCTGCCACCAGCTGAGCAGTGAAACTGCCTTCAGGGGCACTTGYGCAGTGCACTGAGGAGGCAGAGGTTGGAAGCATCCAGAGGGCTGGCCACAGAGCTGCAGGAGCTCCTGACCAGGGGAAAGCAGAGCAGGGGGCCAGCAGGAAGCACAGGAATGGGAGACTCAGAGAGGTCTGTTCAGGGAGCAGGTGAAGAGCCCAGGAGGACAAAGGAATGGCAGGACGCCCGAGGAGAGCACAAGGACACGGGACTTTGCTACCCGGGGCCTGGTGCTGCCGCTGGGACCTGGCACCGACAGCAGCAGCTCTGCACGCAGGGGCAAAGGCCAGAGAGCGGCTGCGATGTCGCTACCTGGCAGGGCTGCAYGGTGGCACGTGCCGCTGCCGCAGTCAGCGCCCTACCTCGGGCTGCTGCTTCTGGGCCTTACCTCGTGCCGCTACCCAGCCAACACAGCAGAGACGTCGTCGTTGGCTCCTCCAGGAGGATGGTCACTTCCCAAAGGGAAGGCGAGGTGTGGGGTGAGACCTGGCAGCCTCATGGTGCGGCCTGCCGAACACCTGCCAACCGCAACGCCAGGGCGCTGGGTGACAGGGGCCAGGGGCTGCAGAGCCGCGATGCCCACACGCAGGGTGCCGCAGGCTGCAGGGCCTTCGCGCCGAGGCGCTGAGCAGAGGACAGCACCTCGGCCTTAGCGGGCCCAGCAGCACCCGAGGCTCGAGGCCCTGGGGCAGGAGAGGGGCTCAGCCCCATGGCCAAGGTTAGACACTCCCGGGAGCGCAGGGGAGAGTGCCAGGATAGCGGCCACAGCGAGGCGGAGCCCGCGGGGACACAACGGCCACCAACGGTCGCCAACGGCCGCCATTTAGCCCCCAGCCCGCGCCCCGTGCCGCCATTTGCCCCCGGCCGCCCCCGCCCCGCCCCCCCCCACGCGCGGGGGCGTGGCCAGCAGCGCCCCGCCCCGCTCCCCGCAGCGCCCCCTCCTCCCGTGACGTCACTGCGCGGTGAAGAGAAAAAAAAAAAAAACAAAAAAAAATAACCAAACAAACCACACACCCCAAGCGAGCGGCCGGGCAGGCCGGGGAGGCGGCGGCGGCAGCGCGGGCAGCGCGGCTGACAGCGCGAGCGGGCGGCCCGAGGCACGCAGACACACGGCGACCGCCGCAGACATGGTGTCCCCTGTCACCGTGGTGAGTGCCGGCCGGGCGGCGCGCGGGGCGCAGCCGTTACGCCCGCGCTCCGGGGCCGTTGCCCCCACCGCCCCCGGAGCCGTTGGCGGCCGTTGGCGGCCGTTGGCGGCGCGGGCGCAGCCCCCCGGCGCCATGTTGCGCCCCCCGGCGCAGCGGCGCGGCCGCCCGGGATGCCGGCTCGCCGGCGCTCCCGTTAGCGCCGCTGACAGCTCGGGCTGGCCGGGAGGCGGCAGCGCGCCGCGGGCAGCCGCTCTCGCTCCCATCGCCCGCGCGCGGCCGTGGGCAGCGGCGGGCGCGGGGCGCCGAGCCCGGCGCGGGGCACAGCACGAGCCGCGCGGTGGACACCCCGCTTCGCGCCGTGCCCGTTCCAGACCGGGATGGACGGGGGAGAAGAGGCCGGGGGAGCAGCGTGCGCTGTGCCAACAGCCAAGTGTCGGTGGCAAAAGTTGCCTCGGCTGCAGCGCTGAACACCAGTCGCCCRCGTCCTGCTGTCCCTGCAGGTTCATTGCCGTCCTGTTGTGAGGTATTTTGGTTAACAGCTCCTCCGGGCTGCGCTTTTCCCCACAGGTAGAAATTCCGTCCTTCTCCACTCCCTAACTCCCAAAGCCAAGGCTCAAAACTTTGGATTTTTGTAGCTAGTTCTGCACAACARCTTGTATCATCTGCTCCTCCAGATTAATCTTCCCTCCAGTCATTAACATGTAGCTGGTAAGTTCAGCAGCAGCTTGGGGGTGATTTTTATCTTTAGAGACAGAGAGAAATAGCTTATAAATTATATCATGGGAATGACTGCACTTTTTTTTTTTTTTTCGCTCGCCTCATGCTCTTCATAAGCAAAGGAGGAGGTTTAATATCTTTGTGCTGCTGTTCACTAAGCTAAATCCATCCTCAAGTAATGGTCCTCATTACAGTGATTTTAATGCTGGTACTTGAGAAGCGAAATCTTGTGCTAGGGCAATGTTGGATTGGGTTGTCAACTGGCAGAATTTGTTTCATAATTCAAAAGAAACAGTACTTGGCTCCTAAGGCCAGTGGACTGGGGTAGTTTTGCGGAGTGCATTTCAACCAAGAATTGAGCAAGTGCCTAAAGCCCAGCTATGTGCTGGGAAAGGTGTGCATAGTTGGGACATGAAGCTGTACCTGCAGCAGGAATTACAGCTCAGGGAGGTAATTTGGGCAACCCAAACGAGTGCTTGCTTTGCTGGTGCTTTATGGTGTGTAACAACATGTTTCTGCTCTAGCTTAATCCCAAAGGCATGAARCCTGTGCAGGGCTGGAGGGCTGATGACACTAGGGCCTGTGGCAGGTTGTTTCCCATGGCTGTGGAAGTGGAGGGAATGGCTTCAGCAAGCGCTACCCTGGCCCTCCGGAGAGCTCATGGTCCCCCAAGGAGCAGCTCTTTGCAGCAGCCTTTGCAGAGCGCTTTCCCTTGCAAGCCGTGCAGGGTGCTGCCTGGTGGTGCTGCCAGCCGGAGCCGTGTGGGGCAAGAAGCAGGGCAGCCCCATGGCTGCGGGGCTCCTCTGGCACGTCGCTCGCCGAGGGAGCACCAAAGGGAGCAATCTGGGGCCGCCCTCGCTGCTGGGGCTATCTCTGTGCTGCAGCGCCTCGTGCTGCCTACCCAGAGCAGGTGTTTGGGGACAGCGGGGCTATCTCTGCTACGACTTCTGCTGGGGATGCTATCTTTGGGGACAGCACCAAGTTAGTCATTCATTTATCTACAGTGCAAGTCCCTTCCCTGTATCTTGCAGCATCAGCCTCAGGGTAGAAGATGCTAGAAATGCACAACTGAGAGCAACATGATTTTTCTTCCAATTTTCAAGCCTACAGTCTTGGTACATGAGTGCAGGAGATGGCTGTGCCTACTTGGATGCAACGTGGTTTCCTGTGGCCTCCCTACTTCTCTTCTTTAAGACAGTTGTAGAAGCAATGTAGCAGTTTACCCAAAGCACCGAGCTGTAGGTCTGCTGGAAGAAACCCTGCAGGAGGCAGAGAGCAGGGAGAGGCAGCTCCAGGGGGACAGATGGCTGAGCCTGCTTGGTAGCGTGGGCTGCCAGAGGGGCATGGTAGCTGGGGGACGCAGTGTGCCCACATGGCCTCGAGGACAGAGCTCAGCTCCTCGCACAGAGCTAGCCTTTGTCCTGGGATGAAGGTCTGGAGTCCTGCTGCTACCAGAGCCCAGACTGGTGTGGCGCTTGGCGGTGACGGAGGATTCGTGTGCCTGCAGGTCCCGCTCCAGCTGGTGAGCAGTGCCTGTTCTGGCTGGAAGTGACCTTGCAGGCAGCTTTCATTGCTTCTCCTCACAGACAAACAGGAGCATCCTGCTCGAGAATGGTTCCTGGTATTGCTAAAGCATTCCTGTGAATGAGCCCCATATTAATCTCTGCTGTCTCCTCACTGTCTCCTGCTGTTCTGCTGCAGAGGCGAGCAGTGTGGTGGCTCTGAGCACCCCTGCCTTGCAGCAGGTTGGGAAAGTTGGTGGGGCTGAGAGGAGCCCAAAACCTGCGTGCGTGTGTGGGACGAATGCCCCAGCCCATGTCAGGGGAGAGGATACAACGTGGGAGATGGTTGTGGGGAAGGGGAAAAGCACAAAGGGGAAGCTGCTGGATTTGAAATAAGAGCTGTTTTTTTCCACACAGAGCAGGGCGGTCTGAAAGCCTGCAGCTGGAGAGCAATGCTATTAGCAGTGCATTTGCTTCATGGATATGTGAGGTTTCATTCCCTTCTTGTACAGTTACCATTGATCTAGCCTTAATAGAAGTTCCTCCTGAGACTGCCTTGTTTTTGTCGTATTTATTTTCTCTGTGCGGAGAATGAGATGAGCCTAAAGACAGGCAGTTACTCTGTATCTCTATAATTCTACACATTCAAAAGGACCCTTGTTTTCCCCTGAAGCTAAGGCTAAGCTTTAAAGTAGAAAGGTTCACACGTCACCTTGAGGAGAGTGGAGGGAGCTGAGGAGGGGAGAGAAAAGGTGGTTTGGCAGTGCTGAGCAAGTGAAGCCCTCAGCCCTTCACCCCCGCAGGTGGGAAGCAGCCCAGAAACAGCCCTTGTCAGCCCTCTGCAACACATGAGTGAATGCAAGATGTCACCATGGGGGAGTATGAAGGTCACTTACAAAAACTGGGCCAAGACCCGGCAAAGACATGATGTGGAAAATTACTCATTGGTAACAAGTGCTGAACAGAGACGGAAAACTGGGTAAGTATCATTTGAAATACCCAAAGGTGTCTGAAGCAGGTCCAAATGGTGCTGATGCAGATGAGCACAGAGACCCTGCTGTAATTTGCACCGCTTAGAGATTCTGCATTATTGCCTTACTGAGCAAAAACCTGTGCTGACGTATGCCAGTTAGAGCTCAGAGCAGTGCTACGGCCATTACTTATTTTTTTAACATGTTTTAACATGTTGATACTATGACAGTGCCATTCTTTGGTGTTGTTGCTAAGAGAGGCTGGTCTTGGGTAGGGGTAACTGAGCCTGAAGGGCCCCAAGCGCGGGCATCTCGGAATGCTCTTCCCYGTCCTAGTGCGGCCATGCCGAGCAGTTAGTGCTCATCCCAGTTGCAGAGGGTGCTGTAAATTAAAGGCTTCATTAACTCAGCTGTATTGCTCAAGTCTCACATGCCTGTTGTTCCAAGTGTGCTCTGCATTAAGATTATGGGTCTGGTTCAGAAGCCTTGCACATAATCCATTTTAATAGAGGTACAGTTCTATTCTCTTTTCCTACTCAACTATCTATATCCAAAATACACAGAGTGTGACAGAAGCCAAAGTTATCTTTCTGTGTGGGTAACTGCATAATACTGTAGAAATAATAACTCCAGTGAAATTAGACTCTTAGGAAAAAGTGGCATTTGGTACCCATCTTCTATTAACATGTGGAAACTCTCAAACAGATACAAGATCATTAGTTACATAATCCTCCTCCCACCCCGGGCCTCAGTGGATACTGCAGAGCACTCACTATTTCTACTGCCCTTCTCCTCACATAAATGGCCAGCAAATTTCTAATTACTGGAGGGATGTGGGCTTTCCTTACTGCGGCATGCCTGAAATGAAGGTGACAGATACTGCTTCTAGCCCACGTGTGCCCTTTCTGTATCTATTGCTTGCCGTGCCATAATCTGAGGAGCATTTCAGCTAATGGCAGATTTCTAGATGATGAGCGTGTTGGCCTGCAGCATCTCTCCATGTGATGCTGAACTTGAACGAGTATCCAGGTAACGAGGAGCTGAGGGAGGAGATGATTAGATGCCACCAGAGCTGACGGGYGGTAGGTGGGCTGGCTGAGAGCTCTCCTGCCTTGCATACCTCATTGATGCACGTCTTGAAGATCCTGGGGGCTCACACTGCAGACCAGGAGTTACCTAGGGTGCAATTTCTCTCTGGACACATGCGATTAGGGTCTTGTGTTAGCTTTAATGCTGCAGACTGATTCTCTGCTATGAAAAATCTGGGTGAGAGGAGTCATGCAAACTGATCCCTGTTGCAAATCTGCCCATAATGAGAATGGTGGCTATTTTCATTGCACCTTTTGGCGAGCTAATGAAAGCACCTCGTTTCTGCCAGCAGGCTGGATTTCTCCCCAAAGGTAACTTCTCTACCGTTCTGTGAAACATATAGAGCCAGGGGAGATTAGCTGAGCCACGTTACTGAAGTGGTCCCGGGGCTTTTGTCAAGTTTGAATGTTGAGCTTTCATTTTTTGCCCCGCACGTGAGAGCARTTTTGGAGACCCCTTGGTGGCAGTTGTCAACAGGCATTGGATCTCTGTTTCAAACTGACTGCATTTATGGTAGTGGCAGGTACCTCCAAGTGTCACTTAAGGCTGAAGCAGCTGCACGTCTTTCAGCACCCATGAGGCACATGGGCACATCCTCAGCCTTATGCAAGTCACTCTATCCCCCATGTCTTCAGTAGAGCTGGCCTATACCAGATGAGAGCTAAGCCAGGAGCTTGGCCCTGCATTCCCTATTTGCTTGTGACTTTTGGTTTTATCGTGG